GCAACTGGACGTAAATAATGCATTCTTGAATGGAACGTTTACGGAAGAGGTTTATATGAAACAGCCCCCGAGATTTTGTGATCCACTACGACCGACTCATGTGTATCATTTGAAGAAGTCCATTTACGGTCTCAAACAGGCTCCCCGTGCCTGGTATATGGCATTATCGACATTCTTAATTTCTTTTGAATTCAGGAAATCGCGTGCAGATTATTCTCTCGTTATCTATCAATCTGATGACGTTATGGCATATTTTATGGTGTACGTGGATGATATAATACTGACAGGGAGTTCACCGGCGTTCTTGACTCAGTTTGTTAAATCCTTGGCAGCACAATTTTCTCTCAAGGATCTCGGTCCTTTGCGTCACTTTCTCGATGTTGAGCTAGTTCCCACTCCCGCGGGTATTTTTCTCTCTCAAGCTCAGTATATTATGGATATTCTTAAAGAATTTCACATGCAGGATGCTAAGTCGATTTCCACCCCTAGGTCTGCTACTGAGCTACATAGTAATGATGGTTCAGGCTTGGCGGATGGCGCTCTGTGCCATCGTGCTATGGGCCTTTTGCAATACCTCTCTATCACTAGACCTGATGTTGGCTTCATTGTCAACCGTTTGTCGCAGTTCTTGAATGCCCCAACCTTGGTACATTGGCATGGGTGAAACGTGTGTTACGCTATCTCAAGGGCACCGTGTGCCACGACCTGTTTTTGCGTCGCGGGTCGAGTCTGACTCTCGCTGCCTTTTCAGATGCAAGTTGGGGTGGCGTTCATGATGGAGGAAAGTCAACGACTGGGTATGTTGTGTATTTGGGTGCTAACATTATTTCTTGGCGTTTGGTTCGTCCGAAAGCGGTTGCACGATCTTCTACCAAAGCCGAATATCATGCTCTTGCGAATGTGGCCGTTGAGTCTTTTCCACGCCGCTCTTATGAAGGCTTTCGCTCCAAGCTGGGTGTCTATGATGCAATGTTGAAAAAATCGCTAGGCGCCTGGGGACCGCCTAGGTATGTTGTGTATTTGGGTGCTAACATTATTTCTTGGCGTTTGGTTCGTCCGAAAGCGGTTGCACGATCTTCTACCAAAGCCGAATATCATGCTCTTGCGAATGTGGCCGTTGAGTCTTTTCCACGCCGCTCTTATGAAGGCTTTCGCTCCAAGCTGGGTGTCTCTGATGCAATGTTGAAAAAATCGCTAGGCGCCTGGGGACCGCCTAGGGCGCCTAATGCGCCTAGTATAGGAGGCCGAGCACCTAGCGCCTAGGCGCAATTTTCGCAGCATTACTCTGTTGGATCCACCATCTTGCGGGGGCGTAAGAAGACATAATATGATTACTCTACTATATAAACTAGTCCCTCCTAGTTGTAGGATTAGAATAAGTCTGTTAACAACTCATAAACTTAGGTGGTTCTGTTGTATTATTGGCTATTTAAGCCTCCTTTGTCTTTTGGTGAAATGCATCGTTCATTCTATCTCCATACAGAATACTATGTTTCGTGCTTTACTGGAAAAACAATTTTCCTGGCCTATTAAGTGCATACAATCTGACATGGGTTGAATATCGCAAAGTGCACTTGGTATTCACCGCTGCAGGGATCTCACACAAACAGTCATGTCCCCACACGCACGAGCAAAGCGGTTGTGTGCAACGCAGACATCGTCATATGGTTGAAACCGGGCTCGCTTTATTAGCCCACGGTCAACTTCCTCAAAGGTATTAGTCCATACTCCCATCTCTTTCATAAATCCCCTAATTATAAAATGTTACGAGTGTTCGGATGTGAGTGCTTCTCGTGTTTACGGCCTTATAATACTCACAAAATGGACTACTGCTCTACCTCCTGTGTCTTTCTGGGATACCTAGATTCTTTCAGTGGTTACAAGTGTTTAGATAGGGCCTTCGGGTGAGTTTATATTGCGCGACATGTTCGCTTCAATAAAGGGGTTTTCCCATTCTCGAAGACTCCTTAAGTGCCCTCCATGACTCTTGTTCCTTCCCTGCCTTGGACATGCGCCCAAGTGCGTCATTCCGCACAACCGCTTGAAGCTCCACCGCTGCTACCAAGCCCACTGCAATCACCTGGTGACCACCATGCTACTCACCAGCCCGCTATCCCTACGTCTTCATCAACAGCGAAGGCTGCAACATCCTCCTTTTACCCATCCACTTCCTCAACGACAACAGGTACACGCTGGCGTCAATGCTCCACCACCCGCACACATGCAATGGAGATGCGTACCAATACCAACACTCAACGCCGATAGTCGACAGCCGACAACAATGGTAGCTTCTGTCGATGATGACAAGCCAATGTGCCACTCACAAGCAGTCAAGCTTCCACATTGGCACAGTGCCATGGACGTGGAATTTAACTCCCTTTTGCACAATCAAACTTGGAAGCTGGTCCCACCCCGGCACGACATGAACGTCATCGGCTGCAAGTGGGTCATTCGCGTCAAAAGGAAGTCCGATGGCACCATTGAGTGTTATAAGGCTCGACTGGTAGCGAAAGGGTTCAATCAAATTCCGGGCAAAGACTATCTCGAAATGTGAAGTCCTGTGATCAAAGTATCAAACCAATGACTCTTCGGCTTCTTTTAGCTTTTAGATAAAAATATTTGAATAAAATAATCCATTTTATCCACTTGGTTAGTTTTACATCAATAATTATATGTTTTGACGATTCTTATATAAATTGGCTGAGAGCTTATCATAAATTAATAGTGCCTTCTTTATATTTTAAAGATTTTGTGATGCAACCTTATTTTTGAATCGACTAACTTTTTATATTTTAAAATTATTAAACAAACAGTAATGTAAAAATTTAAAGTCAAATAATGAGTCTAAATAATCTAAAACAAAAGTTTAAAACTCCAAATTCTAAAATTTAAATAAAAAAATTATTGCTATATATTATTATTATTATTATTATTATTATTATTATTATTATTATTATTATTATTATAAATTATAAATTATAAATTATAAATATGTTCTAAAATGTATGTGCATTCATTACATTGTTCAAACTTCCAAATTTAAAATTTCAAGAAGTCGGAATAACACTTGTTTAGAAATCCAGAATACAGCCTCAAACTTCAGCGCAATCTATGCCAAAAGAGCAAGGTCATTTTGAGTCCATGGACAAGCAACCGGAGTGGGAAAAGAGCAGATTAACAATTCCAACACACACACACATATATATATATATATATATATATATATATATATATATATATATATATATATATATATATATATATATATATATATATATTAAATGACAACCATGTTACTTTCAGAAACATGACTGGCTAAAAATACCTGACCATGAACTTTTTTCAACCTTGCATAGTGAGGCAATTTCACCTACAAATTCATTGGACAGTAATAAAGATAATAATAATAATAACAACAACAAGTATTGTATTTTACTGTAAAAAAAGTATTGTATTATGACTAAAATTTAAAAACTTCAATATCATTTTTTTTTTCAGCCCAGCAACTCAGAACTCTTTTAATTTCTTGATTCTGAGTATATATGCACAATATAATATAATTAACATTCTTCTCTCTTTATGTGTTAGTCTCATTTACTGTTTGATGGATTTGAGCAAAGAGGGATGCGATGCTCATATATATAGTTGGCAACTCCATTCTCTGAAATAGTACTTTTTTTTTCAATTTAATTATTCAGAGAAAGAAAATGGCTATCATAGTTTCCTTAAATATAAGCAAAGAAACAGTCATAAAAATTTGATAGAATAAATCAAGAATGAACAAGAGACTCATGATGAATCACCCCACCATTCCAAATCCGGGTTTCAATCCACTACTAGTGCTCTCGTCAGTAGTATCTCTATCTATACTAATATTGTAGCTAGGAAAGTTGCAAGAATACTCGCAAAAACAATATAATGTCGAGAAAAATTCATAACTTAGCAAGAAATGGTTGAATTGGATAGGAAGCGAAAGTTCTGACGAAATCTTTGAATGTTATTTTGGAACAAAGATTGAAATTAATATAGATGTTTGAATTCGGTAACGTTGAAACAGACGTAGTGACACAAATATTTATAACGCAGTTTCGGGCAAACAGCCCTAATCTGCGAGGCACTTCTCAAATTGAGAATTTGCCTAAATCCACTAAAAGCTGAATATTTAAAGTACACTTGGTTTAGGGAACGGGGATTACACAATATGATTTCCTATCAAGCTATTGAGACCTAAACACTTGTACTACTTTTCAAGGGGATTTGGGTATCTCTCTCAATTACTCTCGTGCTCACGATTAGGTGCTGAAAGCGTAAGAAGAGGAATTGTGATGCATCTTCTTTTATAAGCCGAGAGTTATTGATTGAATGGGAATAGGGTTGCTAATCCTATTTAGATTAGGAATTGAATTCCTAATCCTTGTTTGACTTGATGATCCCCTTTTGTCTAGAATTTGACAAACTTGTCAACAATCTCCCCCTTTGTCAAATTTTAGCAAAAATATTGATCCATCTGGAATCTTCTCAAGAGTTGCCACGTGTGATTTGTCTCCCCCTTAATTTGTGGATCTCTTCTTCAATTTTGATTATTCTCATGGGTTGTCTAAGCAATTTTTCTCCCCCTTAATTTGTGGGGTTATTTTGGTTGATGGTTTTGGATTCTTGTCTTCAGGGAAATGATTTGAGTTGATGCCAAAGACTGGGGTTGCATAAATAATATGCTAGGCTTTCACAAAAGAAGTTTGCCTTTTTTTTTTTTCATAGTGTCATTTGTCTGAACCAAACAGAAATAGAGATAAAAGGACTTGTTCTGTTTCAGCTTCTGTCTGCCTGCCTGCTTTACCAAAAAAAACTTCCTTGTGTTTCATAGTAACAGATTTGCCTGAACCAAGGAGAAACAAAAATAAAAGACCAAAAATAAGGGGACTGTTCACAAAAATAAGGGGACTGTTCAGTCTGCTGATGCCATTGCTTCCACATTGTCTCCCCCTTTTTTGCTAAAAGGTTTAAGGTCTGTTTTCTGATGTTGAAACAGAAGTTTCAACATCCTTGTCTTGAGAGTGTTCCTGGCTTCCTTCTTCTGATCCTTGTTCTTCTTCTTGTTTTTCTTCATCATCATCTTTTAGAACTGTTAGCCATTCTGATATCTCTGCTTTTTCTTCCTTGATGTTCATATGTTTTCTTAGGAGTTCTTTTTCTAAGATTTCTAACTCTGTTAGTCTTCTTTCAAAATATTTGATCAATGTCTTGGAGGCTAGTGGATTTTCTTTTGGAGCTGTGGTTTTTAGATCATTTTGATGGTTCCCCTTTCTCAGCTTGATAGTGGTGTTGATGTTCTTGACACTGATTTTTGGACCATGTGTTTTGAGACATTGTTCTGTCAGGATGGCAAAGATGAGGTTTGGAAAAATCAGGGAGGTGTTGGATTTGGTGTCCTCTGCTAGGTTTATGATTTGAGAGTGAATAATGTTACCCATATTTGATTGAATCCCTTTCCCTATCTTGTACAGTAACTCAGCTAGGGTCCATTTCACAGTAGATTCATGTAGAGAGGGCATCCAGTTGGCAAGTGCTATTTTCTGGAGGACTGCATATTTGCTTGTAAGAGATGCTGCCTTGATCTTGTTCTTTTCAAAGATGACATTTCCAGCTGTGAGTTCGTGTGCAATTTCCTCATTATTTATCTCCATGTTTTGTTCTGCTTCTGGGGTTCCTAGGTACTTGTTGATAGTGTCTGGTGTGAATTTATAAAATTTACCTCTCAAGTATGCCTTTCCATACATAGGACTGCTAGGTGTAGAGATGGTTTTTGTAAGATTACAGTAGAACTCTTGTACTATCTTTGCTTCATAGGGCTCAATATTAGTCACTGTTCCAAGAAGCTGGTTTGTGACTAAGATATCTTGAATCTGTTCTTGGTTTTCTAGCTTTCTTATGTCAAGCAGTTTTTGGCTTATAATCTTTCTTCCCACTATTCTTTTCAGTAGACTTGCTGATTCTTTTTTCAAAAAGACTGTACTGTGGGGTTTTGGCAGGTTTGACATGTCAGCATTAGTAACTGCCTTCTGTTTCCCTTTTTCCTTTTTAGACAGTTTAGGTGTTTTCTTTTGTTGTTTATCTTTTCTGGCAGGTACCTGGGATTTCATTTGGGCTCGGGTCTTTACTCTAATAAGGCTTTCATTTTCTTCATGTGGTGACCAGTCTGGTTCATCCTCTGTTGCTATCCTTCTTGATTTCTTGCTTGTTGAGGGCATAGATGGGATGTTTGGCTTTCGTTGAGGAGGAACTACCCGTATTGGGAAGTCGTTTGGCCTTTTTGCCCTAGGATCAGCTCCTTCAAACGGGTCGGGTTTCTTCCTTTTTCTAGGGTTTTCATTTACTGGAGAAATTGGAACAGGGGATTCAATGGGTGATTCAATGGGTGTGGTGTGTTCTTCGTTCTGTGGTGTGGGGGAACGGTTTGTCTCCTCGGAGTTTGCCTCTTCTACGGAGCTGACATAAGAACCTAAATCGGGTTCCCAACCGCGATTTATGGCAAACCTAAGTTGCACTACAAGGTTGTTTGGGTCGACAATTCGATTGTCCCCAAAGTCAGCCGCAATGGGCATGCATTCAGGTTGTTCAACAGGATCAATTAGGGGAAGATTTTGGTTACCTGGTGAATTGGTGTTCTGTTCTTGTGATTTTCCGAACGGTACTCTGGCTATCGGAACAGGGTCCATCGCAATGTTGGCGGAATCCTCTTCTTCGACACACACAGGGTTCGATGATTCTCCAGTGCCGGTGTGTTTTGAGGTGCTGTTGGTTGTTCCTCTTCGAGGTAACTTTCCTATTCTCTGATTTATGGTTCTCACCATGGTTACTGTTGTATGAAGGTTGAGGATGGATGGTGATTTCTTAGGTGGAGGTTGAGTGGAATCGGGTGAGAGTGATGACTCTGTTTTGGATTTGGGGCTTTTGAGGTATGGATTCGGGTTTGAGCTTTTGTGAAGGGGCGGAGTGATGGTAAGACATGGGCCGGTTATGGGTTGATGGACTTGTTTTGTGGATTGGGCCCATGTGTTATTTGTTTTAATTGGTGAGTATTATAGGATACACAGGCCCATTTCAGCCCTTAATTTTGTGTATCTATTCCTATCTAGCGCTTTGGTTAAAATATCTGCTAGTTGTCTTTCTGTACTTATGTGAGTAAGACTGATGATTTCATCTTCAACTAATTCCCTTATGAAATGATGTCTGATGTTTATGTGTTTTGTCCTTGAGTGTTGGACTGGATTTTTTGAAATATCTATTGCGCTCTTATTGTCACAGTGGATTGTCATGGTTGACTGTTGCATTCCATAGTCTTCTAGCATCTGTTTCATCCAAAGTAGTTGTGTGCAACAGCTTCCTGCTGCAATATATTCGGCCTCTGCTGTTGATAGGGAAATAGAGCTTTGTTTCTTGCTGATCCAAGATACTAGATTAGTACCTAGGAAAAAACATCCTCCTGACGTACTTTTTCTATCATCTATGTTACCTGCCCAATCAGCATCACAATAAGCTGAGAGATGATGATTGGTGTCAAATGAATACCATATTCCTAGATCAGATGTCCCTTTTACGTATTTAATGATTCTTTTGACCGCTTTTAAATGTTGCTCGGTTGGATTTGCTTGGTATCTTGCACAAATTCCTACTGCAAAGCTTAGATCTGGTCTGCTAGCGGTTAGATACAGTAACCCTCCTATCATGCTTCGATACAGGGTTTGTTCAACCGGTTTTTCCTCTGTATCCCTTGATATTCTCTCTGTTGTTGGAACAGGTGTTCTGACAACTTTGCTTTCTTCTAGACCGAATCTCTTGACTAAATTTTTGGCATATTTGCTTTGAGAAATAAAGATTCCATTGTCTAGTTGTCTGATTTGTAGACCAAGAAAGTAGGTTAATTCCCCAACCATGCTCATCTCAAATTCTCCTTCCATGTTGATGATGAATTGGTCTTTGTGGTCCTCGAGTGTTGAGCCAAATACTATGTCATCAACATAGATTTGGGCAATGACTATGTTTTGACCAAGTTGTTTGACGAATAGGGTTTTGTCCACGCTGCCTCTTGTGTAACCCTTTTTGACTAGGAAATCAGTGAGGCGTTCGTACCAAGCCCGTGGTGCTTGTTTTAGACCGTATAGTGCTTTGTTGAGTTTAAAAACACTTTGTGGAAAATGGGGGTCTTCAAATCCTTTTGGTTGGGCAACATAAACCTCTTCTTTTAGATATCCATTCAGAAATGCAGTTTTCACATCCATTTGGTAGAGTTTTATTTTGAGTATGCAAGCTACTGCTATGAGTAGCCGAATTGATTCAATTCTGGCTACTAGGGCGAATGTTTCCTCGAAGTCTGTTCCTTCTACTTGAGTGTATCCTTGAGCTACTAGTCGGGCTTTGTTACGTATGATGTTTGAAAATTTAAATAATATTGTTGGACCGTAGTGGATAATTGGTTGCTAAATTAATTACTTTAATTGAGGTAATTGGACTAATATTTATTTAATTGGGTTAATGAAATGGCCCATTGAATAATTAATTAGTTTAATTACTTAATTAAATGTAATTGGATGTTGGATTGTTCGGCCCGAGATGACGAAATATTTAATCGAGTTGGACCAGACGGCTATTGAATCAATTGGACTGCATAATTAGCGGGCTTGACTTGGTCTTGGCCCACTAAAATTATATGTGGATTATATAATTTTGAGGAATTTGAATATTTGATATTATTTGGAAATTTAATGAAATCATGAACCTGGACGCAATGGTGTCCCGATACATTCCTTAATTTAATTAAAGAAATTAAATTAAATAAGGAATTAAGAGTTGGTTGGAGATTTTCTCTCATCCTCACCACTATAAATAGTGGTTTTATTTTCAAGAATGGGAGCTCTGGAAATCTGCACATCGAAGCTCTGCCGAAATCTCGCCAGGATCTCATCTGGAACACGCCCGCAGTTATATATACTGCGTATATTGCGTTGAGGAATACGCCATTTGAACACCGGAAGCCCTTCCTTGAAGATCAAGCTGCATATTAGCCCTTCATTGAAGAACAAGCTACATAACTCCGGAGGCCCTTCAGCAAGGAACTACTTCCAGTTCGGTATACTCCCGAACTCGGCATACTTCCAGTTCGGCATACTCCCGAACTCGGCATACTTCCAGTTCAACATACTTTGAACTCGGCATACTTCCAGTTCAACATACTTTGAACTCGGCATACTTCAAGTTCAGCATACTCTGAACTCGGCACACCTCCAACAAGGAACAAGGAACTACTTCAAGTTCAGCATACTCTGAACTTGGCACACTTCTAATTTGGCATATTCCAAATTTGGCACACTTCCAATAGGTATATTTGTAGTAGAGAATCAGAGGACTTCTCCTATACAGAGATTGTACCCCTTCCCGTTTGATATATACTTGATACTACTTGTAACCGATACCTTGAATTTTGAACATATACAATTCAAGTTTTTCGCGTTTACATATTTTGGCACGCCTAGTGGGACAGCTCTGCCTCTCATCTCTCTACTACTATACCTCTACCTGCGCATCAAATGGCATCGAACAATCCCATGTTCAGGAGGACCTATGCCCAAGCTACCAAGTCCAAGTCTACGCCTGTAGCTAGCCCTGGCACAACCCAGAAAACGTAAGGTCCGCTGACAAGGAACCGCGCAAAGGATTTGGGGGTCCAAGTGCCTGAACCTCAGTCCATGGCACGACGTGTGGTTCGAAGGCTCGACAAGGCCCCTGCTGCCTCAAAGGCAATTGCTTTTGCTGGAAGTCCACCCTCTCCCAAGGGAGCTACCGATGGTGGTAGTCCAACTTCTATGCAAGGGAACGCTAGTAGCGGGAGCACTTCCCCCGTAACTCCGCCACATCCATTATGGAAGGCTGCACCTGAGTGGTCGCATGTCTACAATGTCATGCCGGCCATGGCGATAAACACAGAGTCTGTGGAGGAGCAATTAGCTAGAATTGCTAAGTCTCTGGAAGGAATGGCTGTCACTCTCCAAAATCAAGAGAAACGGCTTAACACCCTCGATAATAGGGTAGGAAGCATCATGGAGGAGCAAGGAAGCCGTGCTCCAGGAAAGCAACCTGAAGGGCAAGAAGAGGTTGGTCAGCAATCACCACCACCTCATGTTAGCCATGTGGTAGGAGAAGCTGCTTCCCACTTACCTGTAACTGAGAAAACTATTCCAGTTACCGAAGGCATGATACCGGTGGATCAGTTGAAGGACTACATAATGGGGGCCATCAAAGGCAAGTTGGATGAAGGCCAACCTTCATATTCCTATGCTAAGCCCTACACACAAAGAATTGAGGAGTTGAAGATGCCCTACGGCTATCAACCTCCTAAGTTCCAGCAATTCGATGGCAAGGGAAATCCCCAACAGCACATTGCCCACTTTGTGGAAACATGCAATGATGCAGGGACTTATGGCGATCTGTTGGTAAAGCAGTTTGTCCGTTCATTAAAGGGAACTGCGTTTGATTGGTACACTGACCTCGCGCCCGGCTGCATTGATAGCTGGCATGATATGGAACGTGAGTTCTTAACTCGTTTCTATAGCACAAGGAGAACGGTCAGCTTCTTGGAACTCACTACTACTCGCCAATGGAAGGGTGAATGCGCCGGTACCTACATCGAAAGGTGGAGGGAACTATGCCTGAATTGCAAAGAAAGAATATCCCAAAGTTCTGCAATTGAGATGTGCATCCAAGGAATGCACTTTGAACTCTCCTATATCCTACAAGGGATTAAGCCAAAGTCCTTTGAGGAGTTATCCAGTCGTGCTCATGACATGGAATTGAGCATCGAAGCCAGCGGAGGGCACAACATATTGAACTTGCCTAGCTCCTCCAATGCACCTGGAAAACAAGAAGTTAAAAAGTGGAACAAACCTTTTCCAAAGCAGGAAAAGAAAGAAGTGATGAATGTGAAGGCTACTCCTATGACAGTCTTCACTAAGGCAACTGAAAGGCCTAGGTCAAGATCATTTTCTGGCCCGTCAAGGGGTGGTAGAAGGCCGACAATTGAAGAAAGGCAGGAGAAGACTTATCCTTTCATGGATTCCGATGTATCTCCCATGTTTGATGAGCTACTCAAACTTAGGCTCATTGAGTTGCCTGAAATGAAACGTCCCGATGAAGCTACAAGGGTGGATGACCCATATTATTGCAAGTATCATCGTCTTCTTGGTCATCCGATTGAGAAGTGTTTTATCTTCAAAGATAAAGTAATGGCACTGGCCAGAGATGGAAAAATCGAGCTTGCCGATGCCAAAGCGAGCTCAAATCAAATCTCGATTACACCCGGACGGTTCGCTCCGCTGTGTACTGAAAAGGAAGATGGGAAACAACGGAAGCGTCCACTCCCCTTCATTGTTAAGCACGCTGTCGGTCAAAGTTCAGAACCGCAGCGGAATGATAACGCATCCGAAGGTAAATGGGTGATTGTCACTCATAGAAAGAAGAAATTCGAGCCTGTGAAGCATCAAAAGCACATAGTGAAAAGTTGGGTTGAGAAAACCTCAAAAAGTACTCATGCCCGCAAATCAAAGACGAAGGGGCATGTCAAGCAACCACGAGCACCAGTTTCTTTGGCTCAATATATGCCAAAAGGATTTGATCTTCAAGGGGCAGGCACTTCTAGCTCCTGCCTAAATACAAATGACAAGCCAGAAGATGGAGGTGAATGTTCATCTCCTAAACACATCGAGGATGAGGAAGTGTTAATGCATAAGGCTACTTCCTACTCCACAGAAATTACCTTCAAGGATGAAGACTTGTTACTTGGAGGCACGCCACACAATCGCCCATTATTTGTTGAAGGCTACACCCGTGGGCAAAAACTCAAAAGAATTATGGTTGATCAAGGCTCAGCTGTCAACATCCTATCCCTCCGAGCTGTGAAGGACCTTGGTATATCTACAGATGAGCTTGCCCAAAGTCGTCTAATGATACAAGGCTTCAACCAGGGAGGGCAAAGAGCAATCGGCATCATCAGACTTGACTTAAGAATTGGGAGCCTAAGTTCAGGTGTCCTCTGCCATGTCATAGATGCGAGGACATCTTATAACTTGTTACTTGGAAGGCCGTGGATACATGAAAATGGGGTGGTACCCTCGTCTTGGCATCAATGCCTTATGTTTGAAAGGAACGGCATAGTTGAAAAGGTTGTCGCCGATGAAAGCCCTTTCACAGAGGCTGAGTCTTACTTTGCGGATGCAAAGTTCTACATTAAAAGGAAAGTTATTGTTGAAGATATTGAGGAAAGCAATGACGATCCACCTTCCCAATCAAAGTCAAAGGGAAAACAAGTTGTAGAGAGAGATCAACACAACACAAAACTCATCTTCCCGCTTGCAAGGATTGATACGCTCAAAACAAATGCAGCAAACTCATCCGAAGAGAAATGTGGTGATAAAGTGGGCCAAATATTCCCCGCCAAACGTACCGAGGGTTTTGACCCTAACGCTTATAAGCTTCTAGCCAAGGCTGGCTATAACCCCAACGAGCCACAGAAGTTGGGAAAGCTTATCCCAGAAGCCGGTGGTAAAGGCAAACCAAATCACCAAGAACCTCAAACGCGCAAAGGGTTGGGCTATGTTCCCTCTAAACCAGTGCGAATTCTTATAAACAGGGCTACAAGTAATTGTATCTCCGCGGAGGGAAGCGAGTATGACCCAAACCTCACTCCTACCAATGATAATGGGCAAGACAAAAAGAAGTCAGTCTTCGACCGAATCGGTATGGTGAACTCTCGACGCTCCGTCTTTGATAGACTTGGGTCAAGTCCTAAAGCCCTAAAGAGAAAGTTAATGCATGATCGACTTGGAGTTGTCCAAGTTATTAAAGACAGTGCCAATGTTCCTGCTGAAGTGGAGCCTCCCAAAAGGCTTAGAAGCATGATTCCTTCTCGGATGAGACGAGAAACATATATTCACGTTTCATGTGGTGAAGTGTTGAAAGTCCAACCGAAGACCATTGTACACACTCGTGTATATAAAGAAGAGAATGAGGAAAGCGTAGGCTCAAGTGATGACGTACCACCAACCACTCAGGGAGAGGTGGCATCGTCGTTCCATATCACGTTATGTGATGAAACCCCGATTGAGGGAGAAGATGCGGAAGAGGCACCCCATGAGTTAGAAGAAGGGGTACGAGCCGCGGTGGACGAATTAAAAGAAGTTGAAACAGAAGTTAATAAGCTTATTGAGGCTGGCTTCATTCGTGAAGTTAA